ATGTCATAAAAGTCCACCTGTTAGCGAAGACAAGAAAACAAGGCATTAATACACGAAGTGCACTGAAAGAAAAATGCAACTTACAGTAAGCAGATTTTATAGCCATTGGGATACTCGTCCCATTGGCAAGCAGATCATTGGCGAAGTCGGCACACTGCCAGTCCCCGCCGACCCACAACCATTCTTCTTGAAATCCATGGACCGTATCGGGAACTTCTGTTATCAATTCGCCAACCTTGACCCTTGACTGAGGTTTCCCAATAATCGAAAAAGTAAGGAGTGGGTCTGTCACTTGTCTGTCCGGACTTTTCCAGAAGGTAAACATGCTTCTCATGCCCCTTGCCGATGGTAAATCCCATTTCTTTTCGGCCAAGAGCACAAGCAATCCGATAATCCGTTTCTGTGAATTCGGAGCAACTTGGCATAGCGGAAATTCCCAATTTCGTAAGTACTCAGTGATTATACGTGGCAAAGGGAATCGTAATCCTGACCTCAAACTCTCAGCAAACACGCCGCGTGTACCCTGGTGGTGGACATGTAATCCTTTCTCCAGGATATGGTGCAAATAGATGTACCGATGAGGGGACCCTTATCTCACCCCGCAACATAACAACATCAGCATCTGTCAATATACTCGGTTCACCATGAGAATTGACTTTGGGGTCTGGCCATCTTCTAATAGGCCGTCTCCAAAATCTCGGGTCATCGTCGACCGCATTCTCTTCTACCCTTTTATCCCCCTCCGTGTCGTTCAATCGAATATTCAAGCATTCAATAAAAACTGGGTCCCACCGGTTATATTCGGAAAGCAACTCTAACTCCCCGGAGTGGATCATGTTGATCATCATGACATCCAACTCGTCGTCACCAGAAGACGCCCACGATATACTCATGATTTGAAGAAAAATATGCTGAAGAAGATAAATATGACAGAGAAATAACTCTTACCACAAGAAGAAATTCGCAGATCTGGAATTCTTTGAGAACAGTTGTAAGGCGACGAGATTGTAGGAAGATAAGAAATTCGATTGCGAGAAGGAGTTGAAGGTAAAGTGAATCTCAAGGGACGATTACCTATTTATACTAAACCCTAAAATCAGTAATGACCGTTAAAAGTAGGGGCGCGTGGGCTGAACTCTCTAGATTCGCGAGTCGACACGACCTTTGAGAATCGCACCTCTTACTAATAGCTACGTGGCCTATTAAAAGTAATCGTTGCCCCGTCAGTGAATGTTGCAATTAATTTTAATAAATTGCGCCGCTTCAGCTTTCAGTACTGTTTTTGCCAAGTATAAGGATATCGGAGGAACGGCTGCAAAAACCGACATGTCCCATTCGCTCAGATTAGTCGTTTCCTGGTGAATTTTCAGCATCATTGCCCGTCTTTTCTCAAGACGCCCATTAATGCTGGGGGCCACCTTGTTGATATGGTGTTTGGTAAACCATGTTGTTATTACTCATTGGTTGTTAGTGCTCAATAATCAGGAGATTGTGTTCTCTTAACGGGGTGGCATGCTCATGAATTCTGAAGTACTCACATATCGGACACAAACAGATTAAGGACCGACATCCTCATCAATTAAACCGACATCTCATATCGGTTACGACATGTCGGTTGTGACGTGTCGGTTATAACTCATCAAGCCGATATCTATGGCTTGCCGATCCGACATCGTAAGGCGGTGCCAACTCAGCACAAGTCATCATTGCGCCTTGCCAAGTGGCGTGCTGCAAGAATGAGTGGCGATCAGCCGCCATTGACTTTTCTAATATAATGATTACATTTTGGATAAATGTTGTACGTTAATATAAAAGGGAGAAGAAGCTCTCCGGACAGACACACGAGAAAAATCACATTATAATATTCAATAAATTCTGCTTTTAGACTTCAATGTTCTTCAATTAATCTTTCTTGATTACCCAGCGTACTTTTCGTTATATTACCATTGTAAACTGCCGTATAACAACACCTTCTTCTTTTACTTCTCTTTGGTTGACCTCCAATAATTGTTGGAATGTCATTTTCTTTACAACACGGAAGAAATTTTTTGTTGATTCCACTAAGTCTTCTGTAATTTTTGTGTAGTGTCGCTTGATGACATTATTCGGGCAGCTTTGCCTTAAGGAATGACATCCTCTTGGCCATTGTATCCCCTTTGTCTATTTTATATTCTTTGATTAACACTTATCTTCATGGACTGGATATTTTTGCAAAGAATAATTTAAAGCTTTGGAGTCCGCTACCTTGGACATCCATTGATACTCCATAAATAGCTTTATATATTCATCTACATGACAAATGTCATGCAACTCCATAGAGGGCTTACTGTATCTTCTTTGTGTTTCTTCCTCTACTCCTTCAAAGTATCTCGAGCCGATAAATAATATTTTGAGTACTTGAGCAAAATTATCGACTATTCCTCTTAATGAGTCTCCAACTATGACATCTCCTTTTACCTCTGGAGAAGCGATATCTCATGAAACTTTAATTGAACCCTCTAGGCTCATTTCGAGAAGTGAAATGAACCCTTCTTTATTGAGATCCAATGTTCCTGTGACAATTCTTATGACGGAGGCCCAATCATCGATAAGGATCTATCGATTTTTGAAATCTAAAGTGTCCAGATTCAACATTAATCCATAATGGTGAATTGAATCTAGTTGTGATTTCCTATAAGGAGTATTTTGAAGGTTTGTCCTTCAGTAGCGCATTCGGGTACCAGTCGGATGCCCGCTTTCTCCCCTAGTATGAAAATCCTCTTGACAGACTATCTGCTCCTCATGTTGGTGAGAAACTGAGCTTTCTCATCTTTGGGAAGGTTGGGTGCTAGTTATTATCGTTGAACCATCTCTCGTATTAATTTTTAAGTCTACATGACTAATCCCGCAAAGGATTCTGCAAAGTCATGTAGAGCAAGATCTTCCAAATTAATCATTATTTATTAGTGGATTTCCTTTTAAGATGACTCTCATCTTTTCGTCCTCCATCATCGGCCTTCAAACTTTGGTTAGTTTACCATTTTGCTGTAAAAGGGGTACTACTCCAAAAGTTAATATTCTTCGTCCTCCGGAAGTACTGAGTTTGTCTTCCAAGACTTCAATTTGTTTCTAGATACTTATAAGGATATCCAGGGTCTCTTTTTGGTTCCTCATGATTTTTTCCACCTTTGATTGTATCTGGTGGATTTTTCCAGGAACCATCTTTGGAGTTCTCCATAACTTTGCACTGTCCTTTGTACTTCACTGATATATTTGGAGTACTTAGAATGTATGTAATAACTTCTTTCTAGCCCAATAAATTATTAGGACTCATCCTTAAATACGATTCATATAATCTCTTTCTTGATGATATAATAAATCAGTTTGTATCAACTGGTTTACCCAGAGAGCATTGGTATGATACTTCTTTTGTTTTTTTGCAGAGTTTAGTAGTAAATCTATGTACCTCTCCTATAACTTGCTCAACATAACTGTCATCCCAGTGGACAACCATTTTTTAGTGTTCTTTTCCAACATCTTCAAAATTTGAAGATATCTATTAGAATGCACACTTTGGACAATTTTCACTATTCATTCTTAAAATTTTCTCCTTTCTAAAGTTAAATACAATATAATAAACTCATCTAAGAGTTCGTAATAAAACATGTGCTCTGATAATATTTCATGAAATGTGGTACTATTAGAATTAGTTCAAGTACTAGATAGAAAGACATCGTGTACTGCATTAAATTTTTAACTCAAGATACGTTATAAAATATTTTAAGTATTTTTAATATTTATATATCACATTTAAAAAGAATATTTTGTCAAAAAAACATTAAATAAACATTGTATTTTTGAAAGAAACAGATACTATGGAGAATGAAAATTGATGTTTTTCCTTTAGCAAATAAGTCTCGAGGATAGAAATATTATTTTACAGATATACTATGATGAATGAAACAAATGCTATTTAATTGTTGACTAGAGAGTTAGAATGAATTTTTTTTTTTTTTCTCGAGAGACTTCTTGAGAAAATGAACTTAAAATTGGGGAAACATATACTTGGCTCAATAATTTGGTGATTTGAATTTTGCAAAAGCCTTTTAAGTTGAATCATCAAACGCGGCCAGCAATTTTTTTTTTAAAAAATACTATATATTATTACCATTCAACAAGCCCAATTCGTCAAATATGCGACTTTTAAAGGACCAGAGAGAAAAAAAAATAAAAATAAAAATATTGTGATTCTGATTGTGCCCAACATTCTGCCGTGTGTCCGTGTTTTGCCACTCATCACCGATGGCTTTGTCCACCAAATTTAGCTTTC